AAAAGTAGTGACCAGACTTTATTGAAAAATGAACACAACCCGGTACAAATCCAGCGTACCAGATGAATTCAAAAAGTGCACCTAAAATCCCTTTTCATGATTAACGTACTTTCTGCCACTTCTGTTTACGCAATGCTTCTTGAAAGCTAGTTTTGCAGGCCAATGTTTCGAGGCGATTAGTGTCAACGCCGGATACACAACGCTCCGACACAGAGGCAACACACTGCGATGCAATCTATTGGAGTTGTGATGACGTAACCTAACATCCAAGCTCATTTGCGGTGCGCAGTATAATATGCCCAATACCCAACTAGTCGTCTAACTCGTTTATACGATTTTCCATGTCAGCGGTGCCACGGCACTTCTTTTGCAAAGGTAACCCAAATGAAGATGCCAGCAAAAGACATCGTCAGAGATCTAGAATAGGTTTATAAATCAAAAGAAATAAGGAAAATCGAATATCAAGAGATGAAAAGTAAGAATACCGTATGATTTTATGACTTTCCGAAAGGCTACCACCCATGGCAAGATGCTGTCTACCTGACAGAAACTTCAATATTTGGTTTGACCGGCTGGTGGCTTTATGACTGAAAGCTTCTAATTCAGTGTTCTAAAAATATGTCTAGTCAACGGAAAAGTGTTGACAAGGGCGGAGTAGGATTGAACTTGTAGATGAAAAGCTGAGGGCCTTATAGGCCATGTCAATTTTCACTACAATTTTGCAATTTCCTTCAGCAGAAACCATCGAAACCCCAATGCAAGGACACTACAGTTTAAAGGGCACCAACGTAAAGTCTACGTCACACCAAAATGGTCACCATTTTCCGAAATCACTGTTTGATTTGCCATGCAATGACCAGACAACAAGGTCGACCGATAAAAACCAAACCTTTGGACTGTGATATCAATGACAAGTTTTTTAGTATCGAGTAAAAATGATTGGGAGCGTCATATAACAATTGCAGCAAATACATACAGTAGGTTGCCAAAACTCATGCGCCTGTAAACTGGCATAATAAGCATACAGTAGGTGCACTATCTCATGAAATCCAGATTTTTACAAGTAACTCCCTCTTACTCAAACGCAGCCCAAGCTGTGGCCCCTAACGTCTTACATGACGCAGCCCAAGCTGTGGCCCCGAAAGTCTTACAGCAATAAAGTTATGATCGCTCTTAGCTGTGGCCCCCAAAGTCTTACAGCAATAAAGTTATGATCGTTTTTCAAAAACCCGAAGTCTTACAGCAATAAAGTTATGATCGTTCTTCACAATAGGGCATATTAGTAAAGGAATATAACGTTTTATAGAAACACCAGCTTCTTTAACAAAGTGGAAAATTCCCCAAAGTCTTACAGCAATAAAGTAATGATCGTTCTTCACAATAAATGATATAATGATTTACGAGGAATATAACGTTTTATAGAAACACCAGCTTTTTAACAAAGTGGAAAATTCCGTAACGTTTTATAGAAACACCAGCTTTTTTAACGAAGTGGAAAATTCCGAAAAGGTGGTAATCGGGCCTACTAGGTAAACTTAAGTTTTACATGTAGAGGAAGGCAGTTTATGCAAAAAC